GAATCTGAATGATATCAGCAACTCTACCAACTGGTTCACACTGAAAAAACAGAAGGATGTGTCATGAATACAACCCACGTCCAATTAAGAATAAATAGCCAGATTGATTGCCAACACTATGTCCGAGAAGGATCTGCAATATGTTCACATCTAATTTGGCACTTGCCATGTTAGCCACCAAATTTCTTTTGCTAACAATTCTCAGAGCACCAATCATATGAATGATGCTTCTTTACAACTGGTAAAACAAAGCTTGGCCAATTTAATTTCCTTAAAAAATCACCCTTATGACCATAGAGTTTTACGATTAATCAATCAATTCATTCACAAAAACAGATAGATAAAACAAAAGGTTAACTCATACCTGAATAGTTTCATGCACATCTGTTATAATGGGGAGGTCATATGCTACCTTTACTTTCTCAAGGATCTGTAACCAGAGAGGAAAAATGATATGTGAACATAGTTACAGAGGAATGCAATTCTTTACACAAAATAGGTGTTATTCCTATAGCAGCATCAAAAAACAAATTTACCCAGCATGGTGAGATAACTTCAGTCCCGAGTATCTTATGATGGCTTTATAGTTTACTGTCATATGTAAGTTTTATAGTTTATTGTCATATGTCGACACATTAATGCATGAGAACATTATTATAACAAAATAAGGTAAAACAACATCTTCAACTTCAAGCCTTCAATCATTCCGGGACCCCGAAATGACTTGAAGAATGTCCTGTTACCTTTATCAAAGCTTGACTTGAAAACCAAAGGCAGCCCAAGTCTACACGCATCATAAAGCATTGATTAAAGGGAATTTTCTAAAAAGTGCACAGGTTGAGAGTTCTTTATTATACTTTTTATCATTAATTTAGATAAAAAAGTAAAAAGTTGACTTTGATTTTATAAATGATTCGGTTGAAATATTTTTTGTGATATTGTTGTTAAAAATAAAATTTATTTTTATATTTAAACGTGAGACGGATCGGGGGAGGAAAAATGCATATATTCAATAATTAATTACATTAGCCTTTAAGTCAAATGCATTATTATAATTTTTTATATAAATT